AGAATTTCTCAAATATTTCTGAGCTATGTCAATGGTTTGTGAAGATAACTCAGAATTTTTCAGAGTTAGAGAAACTTCATTTGAGATTAAAGTTTCAATATTATGAAATTGAAACGAGTTATAATCAGGGTTTTCAGAATTTTTTAAATATTTCTGAACTATGTCAATGGTTTGTGAAGATAAGAAAATCATAGTTCTATCTTATTTATAAGTTAATTGCTTTGATGCTTACTCTTTCAGTTTTTACAGCAACAACAGAAAGAGCATTTTCTGTCATAAAAATTATGAAGACGAGACTTCGCAACTAAATGAAGGATGAATTCCTTTCAAACTCTTTGATTTTTTATATTAAAAAAAATAGTTTGATCATTTAGTGTAAGCTTTATTATAGATAGATTTCGTTACATAAAAAGTCATGGCAAAATACCCAAATCCACCCCTCAACTATAGGGGCAGGGACGGATCCACACCCAAACAAAAAACGGGGACAAATCCACCCACAACTTTTTTGACTTAGACAAATAACCCATTATTTGACGTCCCACGTCATGTGACATCATCATCTCGTTAACTGCCCGTTAAGTCTGACTTTTTTAACACTTGGAATCTTAGGTGGCTATCTTTGTTGAATTGGACACGACTGCAGTCCAATTTCAACCCATTTTTTACATCATGGCATTTCACTACCCTTTTTCTGCATCTGGGCTCCAGTTTAAATATCATAAATACCTCTTGAAATATTCTTTCTTCTCCGTTTTACCCTCCATACCAATTTATTAGTGGATCGACTATTTTCATTTCATTATTTTTTAATTAATAAATTACATATTTAAATTTAATTAACTTAAATGATGAAAGACCATTTAAAAACTTAAATGATTAATAAGTAACATTTATTATTACATATTAATGGATTAACTCTCAAAAGACCAAATTAAAGATAAAAAAGAGTTAAAAGGAAATGGACAGTTCGTCTTCTCTGATGAGGCATCTTTCCCCACCCAAAATCAACCGATTCATATATGGAGAATTTGGTCCATTGTGTTTTGGTGAGTTTCCTGTTAAATCCAAGCTTTCTTGGCTGGTATACTTAGATATTATCCACAGTTGACCTCAAATACTCCTCCAACATCCCTAGCCAAGCATCTAGAACCAGATCTGTCATGGCGAGTTTGTTGTCTTCAAGGATATCGTAGAAAATTGCAACAAACGCACCATTATACCCAGCTGAGCATCTTGAATTAGATCTATTATGGTGGGTTCTACAAAATCCTTGAAGACAGGAAACCCAGATATAGGTTTCCTCTATTATAACAAAAATTGCAATTTCAATTCTCATCAGTTAATCTCAACACTATTATACCCAAAATCGCACAACAAACCTGCAAAATTTGCAACTCTTTCAAGTCCTTATGATAGAGGAACACAAATCTCAATTTTCTTTGTTCTATGGCACTTCAAGCTTGTCAGGAGGCATGATTATATCTTGTGGCTTCTAATCTGGGTTCTGTTTGGCCCCAACCTCACATGATGGAAAGGGTAGAAAAGGAGAAAGGGAGAAAGGAGAAAAATGCTCTCACTACTGCCGGCCTCTGATCTACTGTGGTTCGAAAGGGAAAAGGCAAATTAGGGAAAGGAAGAAGAAAAGGGTCTATTTGTAATTAGAGGAGAGATGTAATTTTGAAATTTAAATAAGACCTAGATGAGATGGTGATAAAAAAATGAGGTAACTGCCATGTGGTCGTCCAAGTCAACAAAAATGGCCACCTAAGCATCCAACTGTTAAAAAAGATTCCACGGTGTTTAAAAAGTCAAACTTAACAAGCAGTTAACGAAATGATGATGTCACACGACGTGACACGTCAAATAATGGGTTATTTGTCTAAATCAAAAATTTTGCAAGTGGATTTGTCCCCATTTTTTGTTCAGGTGTGAATCCGTCCCTGCCCCTATAGTTGAGGGGTGAATTTGGGTATTTTGTCAAAACTCATCGAGTATTATTTTAATTTATAATATAAAAGTAAGTTTTCAAAGTTATAAAATATTATTTTGAGACTTGAAAAGCTGCCTTTGACTAAAATTCCTAGCTCCGTCACTTGCTTGCTTTGGAGAACTTCAATACCCATGAGCAACTATTCGAACCCTTGTCCTCCCACCTCAACCCACTCCCTCACAAGGACGAGGGCCACGCTTCTTGCGCCACTCTAAATCAAAAGATGACGGGTGCAGTTTAGGAGAAAATTACACATATTAAAAAGTTTGAGAATGGTATTGTTATAGTGATATTTAAGATCATAAAAATGTGTTTTACAATTTAAATTATTTTAAATTATAAAATATTAATATTTAAATAAAAATTTCTTTCATCAAATTATTTTTGTTTGATAATTTAAAACAATTTGAACTATAAAATTATACTTTTAAAATTATAAGTTTATAAAAATAAAATAATAATAAATGAATAAGCATATACAATGTCACAAGAAAACTTTAATATAAAGTGATGTTAGTATTATATTATTTTCTTAAAAAATTTAATCAATTATAATTTGAAAACTAATACACCTCAAAACCTTAAGATGCCCAAGAGTCCAAATTGACATTTTCTTTTTAGGTTAAATCTTTATTTTGATTTTTTTACTTTAATAAAAAAAAAAAGCCTCTTTTTAATTCCTCTATTTAAAATAACTCCTTTTTGGTCTTTAAGGTTTGAAATCCAACTCCTTTTTAGTTCTTTCATTAAGTTTTGTATACATGGCAATGGCATGTTAGATGATAGAATTTCAAGGTAAAGGGACCAAAAAAGAGCTAAAAAATAACTCTTTTTTGCCCATCTACTTTGATAAAAAAAAAACCTCCTTTTTGGTCCTCCATTTTGATAAAAAAAATCCCTTTTTGGTCCTTCGACTTAAAAAAAGCTCATTTTTAATCTCTTTATTTTGAGATTTTCGTTAAAATAATGTGCTACAAGATAAAAACTTAGCAAATTAATTAAAAAAGGAGTCATATTTCAAACTTTAGGAATCAAAAAGAGGTTTTTTTAAATAGAAAGACTAAAAAGAGATTTTTTTACCAAAATAAAGTGATGAAAATGAGATTTTAATCTTCTTTTTATATTTAAAATTTTTGATAAAAATATAAAATATATTTAATTAGTCATTTTCTTTGGAGCCTCTGTTTTACTATCTAAACTACATTATATGGTAAAATATGAGTCATTGAATAGGGGTTGGAGTTTCAAATATCAGGAGATCCGCCTTTATCCAATAATTATAGTTATATAGTTTAATACAATTTAAATTGTATAATATTTGTTTCTTTAACAAATAGATTAAATTCTTTTTTTCTTATTACAACTGGTTGGCATGATATAGAAATTTGGGTTAAAGTTAATTTTAATCCCTAAACTTTAGAGTTTTGTATAAATTTATCCATAAACTCCTAAGAACCTTTTGGTCCCTCAATTCTACAAAATGTACTTTTTGCATTCCTCCATTAGAGCTAGGAAATATATTGCATTGAGTGAGTTTAGACTAGATTATCTCGAATTTTACATTTATCAAATTAAGCCATTTTAAATTTCAAGTTAAAGGTGGTAGATTAATCACCCATCCATACAAGTCTCAAATTAAATTAAATAGACCTAACTTTTTTAAAAAATAAGTAGGTTGGATTAAATCTTTAGATTAAATTCAATTTTGTTAGTTTTACCCTTTGTTAGTTAATTGGTTAAAACCCCTTTTTGGTCCCTGAACTATTGTACGGACCCCCGATTTGGTCCCTGAACTAAAAAAATCCCTCATTTGGTCCTTACTGTTTACCATTTTTATCCCGATTTGGTCATTCCGTTAAAAATCGTCCGTTAACTCACAGATATATCAAAAATTTAAGCCACGTCAGTTGTACACGTGGATAAATGATGACATGGTCATACCCAACGCAAAAACAAAAGTGAGGCCCACCAAATTACAATTTTGCATCATCTTCTTCCTCCAGCATCTTCTTTCTCGAAACTTCCTTCATTCACACAAACAATTCAATCAAATAATCAATTCAATATCCTTCATTCACACAATCAATTCAATCAAACAATCAATTCAATATCGAACCCAACAATTCTTCATCTTAATCAAACAACCAAACCCACAAAAAAAAAAAAAA